TATTTGAACAATCAATTTATTATCTGCCGCATGCTGCTGAAAGAAACATTGCTAATAGATCATCCAATAAGCAAGTTGGTAAAAATGTTACATTCAGGTAATTCACTGGCATATATATAGTACAAGCCCTCTTCAAGGGCATACTTAAATTGTAAACTCAAAATATATTCAAATAAGTCTGCTTATTACATATGAAATCACTGGCATTTACAGGCAGTTGCTATTTACAGTGGTTACCTCAGGTTATGCAGCTGTGGAAGTGGATATTGAAAGAACTGGGGACATTTTTAGTTTTACTTGTGAACTGATGACCTTTTTTTTACAATGCTCAGGTATTATTAATATTGTGACTTTAAAAATCTGTGAGAATTAGAAAAGGGACTGTTAGAAAAAATCAAATACAAGCTTGTGAACAGGGAGGAGGTTAACCAAGATCAATGTGGGAGTGATGCACCCATAAGAGATGGTGAGGGCTCCCTTGAGGGAGAAGTGAGTGTGCTTGGTGAGAAAGCAGAGAGAACACACTGGTCAGGAAGATTTCCATGCTCCCTGGTTTGTTCTGACCTCAGAGGGGACTTCCAGCACTGAAGCAGAATGTTCTCAGAGAACTGAGGAATGCGCCATTCTAGCAACATTTTCAGCTAAAAGGCTATTGTGGATGGACTTGCATTTGAGAAGGTTACCTTCTAGCAAAGGGAAAATTGAAGTTTAAAATGTATATTACAGAAATTAGTAAAAGTGAAGGCTCCCAACCCCAGTTCAACTGACCATCCACTCTGGCCAGCACTACACCCTATGCCCTACCCCTCAAATAACCAACTGTTAATGGTTTGGTGAAAATTCATTCATGTTCTTTCTTTTTCATTCTCAATCTCTCTTTTTCTCTCTCTCTCTCTCTCTCTCTTTCTCCCTCTCTCTCTCTCTTTCTCTCTCTCTCTTTCTCTCTCTCTCTCTCCACACACACTCATGTAAACCCAGATACATGCATCTCTATATTTATTTTATAAAAGTGGAATTATGCTAAGCATTATAGTCTGCCACTTGCTTCTTTCCCCCCCCAACATAATACAACAGTGATATCTTTCTAGGACAACACGCGTCATTATTTCTCATGGTTTTCAATGGCTGTCTTATATTTCACTTTTAAAACTAGTACTCTGTTATGACTACTTGGTTAGTTTTTATTCACCACAGAACTTTAGATCTTAAAAAATCAACTGTACTCTAAAGCTTTTAAAGCAGTTTTTGATCTCCTATGACCCATACTAGATGGTGCATTTATTTTAATTATACTTTGGAAATTATTTTTAAGGAGGCAATAAATTTTTATTAACATAATTCAATTCTGAAAGCACCAGGAAGCACAGTGAGCTAAGAATGGGAGTTGGGAAAATGCATTTTGTAATACTAAAGGAGTTCTACATTTTGCTTTGATCCAGGAGTCTGCCATCTGAGAGGAGTTACAAATCAAAGTGAGTCCTCTTGTTCAAAGGAACTACCCCTTGTGACTGATCCCAGAAGACTTGTAGCAGCTCTAGAGAGAAGGACATGGCATACTGCCAGGAATAACATGGTTAACAAGGACATCACATCTCATTGAGACATTCACTCTGTGCTTTGGCCCAGCCCAGCTGAACCAAACTGTTAGCATGGGAAGAACACAGCAAAACAGACACTAGATGATAAATAAAACCATACTCTTCCAGGCTAAAACATTGCCCTGCAATGTTCAGGATGGACCCTCCAGCACTATGAGACAGGGAAAGCTGGAGACAAGTTGGAGGCAAGATCCCCAAGCTCCCCAAGGAAAATAAAACAAAAGAAACCCCATCTGATATCTCACTTATGGTATTGGAGTTGTTGACATCCACTGTCAGAGAAAGAAATGCAATTATTGGCATGACTTTCACAAAGAGCATGTGCTGACCACTCCATTTGTTCAGTCCTGTTTGCCAAATACCTAAATAAGTATTTATGCAATGACTGGTTAATGGTCAACCTCCGCATAACAATGCAAGTTCTTTGAGGGCAAGGACCTTGCTCAAAGTTCGTAGCCTTGAGCTTCCTCCCATTGGAATAGAAAGACATTTAAGAAGAAAGTATAGACTTGATTTTAACTATAATTACACTGAGTTCTACGAAGGAGAAAAATGGTTTTGATGGAGTCAGCGAAGACTTCTGCAAAGAAGAGAAGATTTAGCTAAAATCTGAAAGACATGCAGGAGAGGAGGGGCAGAGGAGCTTTTCAGGCAGAGGGAAAAGCCAAGGCCTCAGGTGACTGAGCAGAGAGGCCTGAAGAACTAGAAAGAAGGCCAAGGTGACTCGGCCCTGGGGGTGAGGTTAGGAAGAGGGTGAAGGGAAGCTGGGGACATGGACAGCAAACAGAGGATGAAAAACCCTGTATGAGTCTGGTCTTGATCTTCAGTACAATGAATAGCCACTGAAGGGTTTTAAGCAAAGGAGCAACAGTATCAGAGCGGCATTTTAAAAAGATGACTATTTGATCTTGTGAGTGACAAGTAGATGGTGAGGGAATAAAACATATTTGGAGGGAATAATTAGGAAAGTGTTGAGTGGTTTATTCAAGAAATGATATTACTTTGGACAAATGATAGAGAGAAATAGACTAGGATCTCTTTAGGAAAGAAAATGAGCAGGACTTCTCACTATTTAAATGTAGGAGATGAGGAAAGACTGCTCTTAGAATAACTACCTGGTTTCTAGATGATGCAGCTGTTGGAGCAGCTATTCACTGAGGAGGTGCAAGTTTGATGAGAAAGATCATGAGTTGTACAGCTAGTTACAAGAAACTGACATTAACAACAACATCCAATAACATGGAGTACCATGACAAGCTGGGCCAAAGTGATGCCTTAAATGGATTATCCAATTTATACCTAACTGCAGTCACACAAAATAGGTGCTACCTCCTCAAGTTTTAGAGATAAGAAAGGCTTACACTCAGAAAGGCTTAATCACTTATTGCCATTCTCAGAACTAAACATTTTAAAAGCTGGGATTTGAACCCAAATCTCTTCAATTCTAAAGCAGATGGTTCTTAATGACCAATTCATCCTGTTTCATGATAACTCATACCTACTCAGGAAAATTTTCCTGATTTGAAAAGTATGTAAGCATAAATCTGAAGCCAAACCTTTCTAGGAAACCTCTAGACCTTCTCTCAGGGCTGTGCAAAGCAAACTCTCCACATCGGACAGTTGATTCTACACTTTCTCCCATTTTTTTTTTCATGGCTGACTGGCTCTTTTTCTTACTCTTGCTTTTACCCAGGCCTTGAGATTACCTCATCTGCCCCCATCTCCCCTGCCTGGCCTTCTCCAAATTCCTGTAGTACTTTCAGTCTCACTACTCATTTTTAACAATGATCATGTGCAAGTTACCCAGCAGGATTTCCATAGATTTTCTACTTCCTTACATTGTATTTCCTATAATAAGAACTTTCATATAGTGTATCTTGACTGTCTTTAAAAGTCTTTTATGTCCTGAAGTCAGATTGTTGTAAACAAGCTAATAAACACAAATTTCCAACTATTACATGCCATGGGTCTGGTTGCTTGCCATCAGTTCAATTTTACCAGAGTCATTATCTCTAGCTATAGAGTGGAGTCTCATTATACATGCATTTAACTTAAGCAAATCCAACTATACGTTCTTGACAGAGCAAAAGAGAAAGCAATTTAAATAGAGCAGGCCATTATGCCTGCCATTCCAATCAATGCACATATGTCCCATGAAATAGGAGACGAACCTGCTGTCCCCTCAACTGGTTTCAGTCTCTAAGTACCTCCCCCAGTGTGATTAATTCTCTGGGAAGACTGTGATGCTAGCGTTTAAAAGTCTGTATGTTAGATATACCACAATCTCTAGTTTCAGTCAACTACTTTTCCTAGTCGTCAATTCAAAAGAACAGTGATTGTCTGGGCACAATAGCTCACATCTGTAACCCCAGCACTTTGGGAGGCTGAAGCCTGAGGATAACTTGAGCACAGTAGTTCGAGAGCAACCTGCGTAACATAGTGAGACTTGTCTCTATAAAAAATAAATAAGAATAAATAAAAATAAATTTTAAAACAGTGATCTATCTCAAGACTGGAGGAAAACTTGGGTTTGTTGGGCTGCTCAAGAGACAGTAAGAAATCATTGTCACTGGTAATTCTGATTACGTGTGATTTGTACCCCACATTTTTCTGAGAGCTAACCCCTAAGATACGACTGCATTGATAACAGCATATGTTTGTGTAATCATCTGACTTTAGATTGCATTCTACCTTTATGGTGAAATGTAAATTATCAGGAATTGGAAAATGAATAGTGATGATACAAGTGATAAATACATAAATCTGTGACAAACGAGGCAAAGATGGAAATCATTAGGTCTCTTGAAGTCAAATATGAAGAAAGAATAAAATTATGCAACAAGAATGAAATTCTAGACGTGGGTCCGAAAAATATAAAATTATTGGGAAGTTTATTATCATCTGTAACTTTCTGGAAAAGAGTCTCCACAATTCATGCACATACACAAATATGTATATCAAATTGTTACAGAAACATATTTTCAAGAAAAGGTTATGTTCAAACATAGGGCATTTTCATTCTGAACCACCCCCGTTGCCCTCTGGGAAGATGTACTCATTCATGATGCTTAGCTTCTTCAGAATTTTGTTCATGCCATTAGTATAAAATGTAGAGCTCTACAGTAAACTTGATTGCTGACATCTATTGCTATTTAGATGGCAAACTCCTTGCACACAGGTCCTAGGTCTTACTAATCTGCACATCTACAGTGCCCCAGAGAGGACCTGACTAAAAAGGGGGCCTCTGCAAAGGCTGGAGAGTGACTGTATAACTGAATTACCAAATTTACCTCTCTGAGATTCATTCCTTCTAATGAATAAGAAAAGGCAGACACTGCTCAATATCCATCAAGTCATTGTCTCCAACACAGAGCTCCACTGTGCACATTGTTCTGTCCTTACCTATCCAGGGAAATGCAGCACAGGTGAAAAATCGATGCTGTTGTGAGCAGGACGTCCAGAGATGTCCGAACAAGACAAAACATCTCCCCATAAATCCAGATGTCTTGAACCAGCTCAATGGCACCAAAGGGCATCACCAGCACCGAAACCAGCAGATCCGCAAAAGCAAGAGATACAATGAAATAATTTGTTTTTATTTTCCTGTGAGTGAAAAAATGTAAGAGAGGAGGCAGGGGGAGGAATGAAGGGAAAAAGGGGAGGGAGAAGAGATCAAGAGAAAAAAACAGGGAAAAGGGAAGCAAAGAAAGAAGAAAAGAAGGGAGGGGTAAAGAGGAAAGAAAATGTCACATGCTTAGCGTATTCCGTGAGATTCAGTTTCCCCTTCTGTAACATGGCTGAGAAGACCCAGAAGGGTCCAGCCTCTCCTGACTTCTCCAGACCTACCTTATACCAAAACCTCCTTTTTCCTCCCCTTTCTGGCCACTCTGCGCTAATCTGAGTTCCCCTGCACATACAGGTCCCTTTTGAGGGCCAATGGAGATGCTCTCTCTTCCAAGGGTTCCCTAGTTAATCCCACCCACCCATCAGTCCTTGGTTGGGCATTCTCAGGAAACTCTCTCAAGGTGTGCCCTGTGACTGTAGAGACAGTCCACCATTTTACACTAGTAGACTGGCTACTGTGTACTCACATTTATAACACTGGTCAGAATTGCGCTTTTACACTTTATTTGCATCATCATTAGACGTGTGCATGTCTTACTTAGAGAGGAACTGCTTCATTATACCCTTTTATGGCCCAGAGGCTCTCATCCCAGGCTGTACACTAGAATCATTTGATGCATTTTAATAAATATTGATGCTGAGGTCTCACTCCAAATCAGTTAGTTCAGGCACCCTGGGGAGTTAACACCTCTCCCCTCAAAGATTACCAGATAAAATACAGGATGGCTGATTAGATTTGAATTTTAGCAATAAATAAAACTTTTTGAACATAACTATGTCCAAAATACTACATGAGACATACTAATATCCCACGATGATAGTTTTTAAAAGTGCTTCAGGTGGTTCTAATTGCAGCCAAAGTTGGGCCTGATGAAGTAGAAGTGCAAAACACACAGGTTTAATTTCTAGATCTGTCCCTTGTCAGCCACATCTTCCCTAAACCATTAGTAAAATGGGGAGGTTAGATTATATGTGCTCTCAACAATTGTATATATAGTGATCACAACTATAAACACATTTGACAAAGAAAAAAAATGACAGGATGGAAATACACTGAAGCGTTTACACTGGTTGTATTAGAGTTGTAGGATTAATTGCAATCCCTTTATCATTCCTTTTATTTTTAAAATATTGTTCCCATCAATGCTTTCTTTCTTAATTACAAATTAAAATGGAAATGTTCACACCCAACTCTCCAGGGACGGCTCAGAACTCCCATGTTTCCTCAAAAGGTTCCCTCCTGCTGCTCACCTGAGCTGCCTGTCCCAGCACACAGCCACCATCACCAGCAGGTTCCCCAAGATGGCCATCAGGATAACCACCGAGAGAAACGTGAGCAGCACGACCTTCTCCACTGACCCGAAACCCTCCTTGGAACTGAAAGACACACACGAGCACAAATAATTGGATGAAAGTCTGGGACACAGGAAAGAAAATTTATCTTTTCATCATTGACCTTCAGAAAGGTAACTTCACCATCAGCTGCTGACACATATATTTATCATGCATTTAATGTACACCAAAATCTGAACCTGTCACTTAACATTTTTTCCTGGTTAGCTCCTATATGTAAGAGGAGTATGAGGCTTAGAGAGCTGAATTAACAAGCTATTTTCCATCCAAGCACTTGTGGCTTTCCTTCAGGGCATTTAGTTCAACTAGCATTCAGACATATGTGGTTGATTCCTGTTTTGTGCACTTACTCAATTAGATTGTAAAAGCTGAGTGAATGAGTGATAGTAACTTTGTAACTGCAGGAGTAGCCCAAACTGGTCCAAATTTGTGTATAAAATGGTGAGTTGTGTTTTAGTTGCCATGGACCCCCAGGTTGCAAGTTAAACTGACCAAGCCCAGATGAACGAAGCATGCAACCAACCACAGGGTGGAACCTAAGTGCTTGGACCAAGGCATGGGGACCAAATAAAGAAGTGGACATCTCATGGCATGATCCATGATCCAATCATATCGAGCCGTAGCATCACCTTGTGGCATAATACAGTCACATCATACCTCCTGGCATTAACTTAATCACAAGATCCAATCAGATCACACCTTATTACCCTCTGCCTATAAAACCTGCCATAGCCCCCAGCTCAGGGAGACAGATTTGAGCTTTGCCTCCTGCTTCCTTGCCATTCAACTTACAATGAAGTCTTTTTTTTTTTTTTTTCCTCAAAAGCCAGGGCCATAGTATTGGCTTCTATGAACATCAGCAAGGAGCCCACTGCTTGCTCAGTAGCAACTTGAACCAGTTGTTACTGAGCAAGCCACTTTGCATTCATACAGTTACTTGACTTGAATGCAAAGCCATTTTGTTACAGTGTCCCATTCCAGCCCATGCAGAAGCCTCTGCTTACAGGTAGGTTCTCCCAGAGAAAAAAAAAGATTGTGGTTTGATGGTTGTTCTTCCATCAGTTCACCTGGACAAATTGAATTCAGATTCTGTGAAGTCTGTTGGAAAGATAGTAGCCAATAAATAAGCTCAGTGGCTCCTTTCACCACCCTGATCATTTCTTTTAGTGCCCACAATATGTCATTGTCTTCCCAGTTCAAATTTGTGTTCTTGTCAGTTTCAGCATCTGATTTAGTCTACAAACGTTGCCTTCCCCATGTAAACTCAGCATTTTGTTTTATTAACTTGAAAATGAAGATGCCTTTTCAATGAAAGCATGATATCTGCAGATTAATATTCAGAAGATATATGGATTTTAAAAACTTTTAAAGTATAATAAAACATTCTTTTTAATGAAGTTTCAAAGAATCTTAAAACTCCTAGACCAGGGGTGTCCAATCTTTTGGCTTCCCCGGTCCACACTGGAAGAAGAATTGTCTTGGGCCACACATAAAATATACTAACACTAACAATGGCTGCTGAGCTAAAAAAAAAAAAAATTGCAGAAAAATCTCATAATGTGTTAAGAAAGTTTATAAATTGTGTTGGGCTGCATTAAAAGCTGTCCTGGGCTGGCTGTGCCCCGACAGACTGTGGGTTGGACAAGTTTGTCCTAGACCCAAACCCCACATTTGAATATGGGAAAGAAGAGCTGACTTGTCAGAGCATGTTAGTGGCTGGTCTGGGAGAGGCTGTTTGTTCTGTGAGCCCACCAGTGAGAACACAGGGTTCCAAAAATCAAGAATTCTCTCATCTTTCCTGAGCTCTTTTGACTGAAAATAAAGATGCATGGCCCTCTCCAAATGGAAGCAGCCTGCAAAGTCCTGGCTTTGGCCTTGTCCAGAACTTCTGTTAAGCTGGCACAGAAGACAAGGTGCCAAAAGGAATGAGGAACCAGTCTGGTAGTGGTTGGAGAATGAGAAAGTCCCTCCATTCAGCTGAGAAGTGTTTTTATAGGCAGTTTGATAGATTGTTTTGGCTGGGGTTCAGATGAAAAGAAATTCCAGATATGCTCATCTAAATCACCCTTCTACACTTAAGTTCTAACTATCAGCAGTACAAATATTAGATAGAGAAGATTTAATTCAGTGAGGAAAATGGTACACTTAGGAAAAAGACCTTAACAGACTAATGTAGCCACCAAAAACTCATTTGATCTTACGTCATGTTAGTTGAGTTAGGCACTAACAAAGGAGGTGATGGTGGTTCTCTTCCCTGTCCTTCTCAGAGTCTCTGACTCACAGCCCCTCTGCAACTCATCTCCTCCAACCCCAGGGCCTCCGGATTTGAGGTGCCTTCTTCCTAGAATGATTCTTCAGTGACTGACTTCTTGTCATTCAGGTCTCAGATTAAATTTAACCCCCAGTTAATGTACCACAGCCAACAAACATTTTTCATTTTCCTTACAGTATTTACTATTATCTGAAAAGACTTATGTTATTGACAGTTGTCTATGCCCCAATTCCACCGATTGACTTTGGTTATCTTTTTCGCTACAATCTCCAGTGTCTGGCACAATCTCTAGTCTAGAGTATGTATTAATGTACATGTAATACTACAAATTAATATTACATATATAGATGATGGCTTACATAGTAAGTGCTCAATTACTTGCTGATTCAGTGAAAGAGAGATATATTGTGCTCATAATGGTTGTATTTATTATTCTATGTCTTTGAAGACTGGTTGAAAGTATAGAGATTTCAACTAGAGAAAAGAAGGCCCAGAGATGAAATGCAAAATCTACTTTTAGCTATCTGAGGGCTGCCATTTGAAATAAGAGTAGATTTACATATTCAGTCATTCAACAATTTCTGAGCACCTCATCTGTGTTAGGCATTGTTGCATGTCCTAGGGAAACAGCAATAAGAAAAACAGAGAGCAAAACAGACAATAAACAGATGCACAAGACAGTATGTAACATGTCAACTGTAACAGTCCATGGCAAAAAAAAAAAAAATATCTAGGAGGGTAAGGAGGACTGGATGGCCCATGGGGGATTGCAGGCTGGCTATTTAATAAAGGATGTCAGAGAAAGCTCAATGATAAGGTTATCACAGGTTGGGAGGCTAAGACCAGTGGGTGAACTTTAAGCAGTGGTTCCCAGCCTTACCTGCATATTTAAGTTACCTGAGGAGCCTTAAAAAATGCTGATTCTGGGAATCCACCCTCAGAGGTGCCGATTTAATTGGTCTGGATTGCAGCTTGGATAGAGAAATTTTTAAAAGCTCCCAAATGACTCTGATGTGTAATGAATTAGAGTCACTGACAGGGAAGCAAGATTTAGTACTAGTTAATAAGAGCCTTCTAACAATTCAAGATGGTCTGCAATAGCTTCCTGGTGTTGTTTGGTGCTCCCTGGCATAGAACGTGTTTAAGAATACCCGAATGGCATTGAGATACTAATTTGCACTCATTAGGATGGCAGTTATAAAAAATAAAACAACAAACAAAAAATAACAAGTGTTGGTGTGAATGTGGGGAAAAGGAAACACTTGTGCATTGCTGGTGGGAATGTAAAATGCTACAGCCACTGTGAAAAACAAGTTTGATGGTTTCTGTAAAGGTTAAATATAGAATGCCTATGTGATCCCGCAATTCAATCCCAGGTGTGCACCCAAAAGAATTGAAAGCGGGGATACAAACAGGCACTTGTATACCAACGGTCTATAGCAGCATTATTCACAAGACCCCAAAGGTGAACACAGCCCAAGTTTCCATTAATAAATAAGTGAATAAATAGAATGTGGTATATACATACTACAAAATTTTATTTCTCTGTAAAAAAGAATAAAGTTGTTGTTGTTGTTGTTTTTGAGATGGAGTTTCACTCTTGTTGCCCAGGCTGGAGTGCAATGGTGCGATCTTGGCTCACCGCAACCTCTACCTCCCAGGTTCAAGCGATTCTTCTGCCTCAGGTTTCCAAGCACCTGGGATTACAGGAGTACGCCACCATCCCTGGCTAATTTTGTATTTTTAGTAGAGACGGGGTTTCTCCATGTTGGTCAGGCTGGTCTCGAACTTCCAACCTCAGGTGATCCGCCCGCCTCGGCCTCCTAAAGTGCTGGGATTACAGGCATGAGCCACCACGCCCGGCCAGGAATGAAGTTTTGATACATGCTACCACGTGGATGAACCTTAAAAATAAATGAAACAAATAAATAACTGAAATAAACCACACACAAAAGGAGAAGTATTGTGATTCCACTTACTTGAGGATTCTAGGCAAATTCATAGGGAAAGAAAATAGAAAAGTAATTATCAGGAACTGGGAACACAGGGGAATGCGGAGTTATTATTTAAGAAGTATAGAGTGTTTGGAATGATGAAAAAGTTCTGGAAGTGGATAGTTGCAATGGTTGCACACCATCATGAATGTTCTTTTTTTAGCTTTTTATTTTAGATCCAGGGGTACATGTGCAGGTTTGTTATACAAGGGGTTTGGTGTACAGATTATTTCATCACCCATGTAATAAGCATTGTTTGATAGGTAGTTTCTTGATCCTCACCCTCCTCCCACCTTCCACTCTCAAGTAGGTCGCATTGTCTGTTGTTCCCTTCTTTGTGTCTATAATGTACTCAGTGTTTAGCTCCCACTTGTAAGTAAGAACATGCTGAATTTGATTTTCTGTTCCTCTGTTAGTTTTCTTAGGATAATGGCCTCCAGCTCCATCGATGTTGCTGCAAAGGACATGATCTCATTATCTTTTGGGGCTTAATATCACTAAATTATATTCTTAAAATGCTTATTATATATATAAATGATAAATTTTGTTATTTATATTTCAGCATTATATAACAAAAGAATTCCTGGATGACCACATATCAAGATACTGTACAGGGCTCCTGTACTGGGGGCAGGCTGGCCTGGCTGTTTTAGGTCGCTTTTTTATCTATGGCTTATGATGTAAACATATCCTTATAATACGAATTCTCCATCAACAACACCACCACCATTTGAATAATCTCTCTTGTACTGTCTTTC